GGGGGAGGGGGGAGGGAGCGGGGCCAGGAAGCGTGTAAGGCGGTCTGCGGGCAGCAGGCGTGGCCACCAGGAAAAGCACATACAAAGGCCTGCAAGAAGTCCAGGTTCAGAGAATTCCCTATATCCGCAGGAATCTGCAGTGATCTGTTGATTTTCGTTTTTTCAGCAAGACTTTCTCTGTGTCCCCAAGGCTGGCGGGGGCCCCTGGCACTCACTGTGTGCAGCCGAGGGTGGGAGGTCGGGGGTCCGGAAGGTCCTGATGGTGGCGGGTCCCTCCCCACCCGCGGTCAGCACCTGCACCTCCAGACGGTAGAGGGTGGCCGGCCGCAGACCTGGCACCGTGAGCACGGAGCGATCCTGAGGGGGGACAGGAGAGGACGCGCCCGTCAGGCACCCCTTGACCAGAAAGCCACACGACGGACTCTCTAATTCTCTGCCCGTTTCCTCCCGCCCGCACGCCCGCGATCACCGTGTAAACGCGGGTGTGGTTGCTTTGACACCCCAGCGTGCTCGGTCGAACGTCTGTCCTTGTTTGCTCGAGTCCTGCCCTGCCGGGCAGCCTCGGCACTGAGAGCCCAGCTCTTGGCAGCCGGGGACACTTGCAGAGTTAAGATGGGCCGGGGCCAGTCTCAGGGCTCACCCCTGGGACCGCGTTTTGTGTTTCTCAACCCAAGGCTTTCCCATGGTTTAAAGTTTTCATCTGCACATCTTGTGGTGTGAATTCTTGATAATCCACATTTCCATGAGCGAGCCAACTGTGTTCCTTAAGATGCAGTATCTATCTGTCAATGCCCATAGCCAACAGTGTTTATTTTTATGCCAACACGTTTTTCTCAAAACTCAATAAAACCTAATATATACACACATAGAAAAATTACTTTCCAATTCCATGGAATTTTTCCTTCCAGGATTTAAGGGGTTTTTTTGTTTGTTTTCTCTTTTTGGAGCAGGAGTTGGATATTCTAAGGGCATTTTTAGAGCGGGTAAAAGCCCGTACGTGGGTTTCTTTTTCAAGCCAAGGAATTAGTGGCCTGGAAGACAGGCCAACTCATTATGGGCTCTGGCCAGATTTGAAGCAGGGAAACGAAGAGAAAGAAGGTTCTCTTAGCTATTTTTCCCCAAATTTAACCCTTCAAACAGGGCCTGTCCACTTGGGCCAGAGGGACACGGGCTTCACAGAGGAGAAGAAAATGGTGACACCGCGCGCATCCCGTGTCGACAGGAGACGTGTGTTGAAGAGGGGCTCTAGTAATCACGGTTCATCTAGACGACAGTTTGTTCACAGCAACACTTGTGTGGTGTCTTTCAGTACCTGCGAAATAATACACCCGGGAGAAGAAAACACACGCGGCTCAACAACTAGCCCCAGCGTGATGGGACGCGGGCGCCGACCGTGAGTAACCACCCTGCGGTGCGGGTACTGGCCCGAGGGCCCGGGAGGGAGGGGCACCCACCGCCGGGAGGATCTGGGACTGCAGGATGAGGCTGTTGGGAAGGCCGTTCTGCCTGCTCTCGGTCGTGACCTCGGCCCACGTCACGTGGAAGCCGGTCACGGGCCGCTGGACGGTGGCCTTGCTCAGCTTCCAGGAGAAGCGCCCCGTGACGTTCGTGCCCTGGACCACAAAGGAGGCCGACAGGTTCTCGGGTTTGGCTTGCACTTTGGAATGAACGTGACCTGGAGCAGCGGGAAGAGGAAGGCCGGGTCAGGGGATGGAGCGTGAGAGGGGCCCTAGGCGGCAGGTACGTCCCGTGGGGTTCGGCCGGCCGCCTCTGGAGCGCGGGGTCAGACGGTCACCCTGGTGACCTGTGCGGAGGCAGCCTCAGCCCTGCCCCTTCGTGCCACGTGCTTCTGCTCCCTTGGGCGCTACGTGGAGAGTCCTGCTTTGGGGGTGGAAGATGGAGGAAGAATTTTGTGATCGGGCGGGACCTGGCCACTTAGAGAACAGGAGAGACTGCAGTGAGACGGGTGAATATTCAAGGTACTACAAGAGCG